GGACACAACACCAGAACAAACAGAGACAGCAAAAGATGGCAGTGTGTGGGTCCAGCGAAAAGTTGAGGACTTCACCTCTTAGCAAACCACGCAGATGAGATTCCGTGGGACTGGAGGGCCAACTGAGTTTGCAAGACGGAAAACTACAAGTCGCCTCCAAAGCTTCCTCTGTTTGGTGGATATTAGTTTGCTGATGACCATCAGAGACTACCCAGTCCAACAGGGTTGAAAAACAGAACACGGCTGAAAAATGAGTGTGAATGAGCTGATGGCTTTCAATTAAGTTCTGTTTATGAAGGCAGCACAGGGGAGTGTTGGCGCCATGCAGGATTTGTGGTCCAAAGACTTTGGGAATTCATACATCAAAGCCACAATGCCTCAAGACCGTTTGCAAGATATACTGAAATATCTGCGCCTGACAACAAACACACTCGTTTGGAACGTATGATAACGGACAAATGCTCTTCTTCTGACTCCAGTTTGTTTCAGCCTTTATCCAGTCTCATATAGAGGGCTGGTCATATCACAGGTTATTTGCATTAAAACAAGGACAGTTAGAAAGGTAGAGTGAATACACAAACTTGAAGAGGGGAGGGGGGCTTGCAGGAAAACTGAAATTCTCTGGGACTTCTAGTCTCAACTATAGCTCTGGTGAATTTCAATGGTGAAGTCATCTGGAAATCTTCAATAATTGTTGTTGATTGCAGATGTGTCTAGTAGTTCCCAATGATTTAGCTTGTAGAGCGGGGAGAATGGCGAGAAGTCACTGCTGGAAGATGTCAGGTGGGAGGTGCTGCTTTATTTGGGCAAAATTGGCCACATCCAGACTCAAAGGTCGCAACGAAAATTTTTATCATTTTTTATTTATTTTACTGATTAACGCTAAATTCAAAATATCACCATAAATATATTAGTTTTAGGTATAACTAATGATCCATTGATTATTCCGTGCTGAGCGGACTTTTCCTTTGACAGCTGTCTGTCCAAAAAAAGTTAAAAACAATCCACTGGACTTTGTTTCC